TGTCAGAAAGTGTTATAAGTGATCCATCAGAAATATATTTTAGTCTTCCTCCTGCATGTTCCATAGCAGAAAAAAAATATTTTGATGAAAAATACCCCTTTCAGCCAACCAGGACTGAATGCTCAGATCTTCCTTTTCAAAAAGCAGACTTTTATTACTGCAAAATGTCTAATGGGGATCGTATTAAGCGTTCGTGGCTAGCATTTCCTGCTGCTCTATTACAATCTTATAGATCATTTTGTCTTCCTCACTCTGTTTTTTTTTATAATTCCTAAATGCTAACTTTTAGTTTTTAACTATTTTGGCCACATCTGCGGAGTACCACAGTGGTTTCTTGAATTTTTTGCTTTTACTGACAAGCCTAATGCAATTTTCTGTTGCCTTCAATAGTGCAACTTTTAAATAATCCCATTTCTCTTGGACTCATTTAAATTGCTCCAGTCTGATAATGACTCCTCTACCCATATTCTAATTTTAGAAAAGTCTGTTTTTCTAAAGTCTAAAACTTTTGTTTTTGTGTGGTGTGACTCAGTCACTGTTCTTATATTAAACCACACTGACTGATGATCACTGGATCCTAAACTTTCACCTACAGTAATATCTGATACCAAATCTCCATTTGTTAACACTAAATCTAGTATGGCCTCTTTACGAGTTGGCTCCTCAACAACTTGTTTTAGAGATAATCCCAGTAGGGAGTTTAGAATATGTGTGCTCCTGGCACAAGTAGCTAATTTTGTTTTCCAATTTACATCAGGAAGATTAAAGTCACCCATGATGATAACTTCCCCCTTCATTGTCATTTTAGCTATTTCATCAACTAGTAGATTATCTAACTCTTCAATTTGTCCTGGGGGCCTATAAGTCACACCTACATGAGTTACTGTGTGATTACCAAATTCTAACGTAGCCCAAACGGACTCTATGTTTGCCTCACTTACTTTTATTAGGCTAGATTTTATGCTATCCTTCACATACAAGGCCACCCCTCCCCCTTTCTTGCCTTCCCTATCTTTCCTATATAAAGAGTACCCCGGTATTGCTATGTCCCAGTCATTTTTCTCATTATACCATGTCTCAGTAACAGCGACTAAATCTACATTATCAGTTGCCATTATTTCCACAAGTTCATGGATCTTATTCCCTAAACTGCTAGCATTTGTAGACATGACTCTAAGCTTATCATTTTTTAACACACTTGCTACAGGCACCTTCTGTCCTTGTTTTGGGGGAAAATTGGATTGATGTTTTATCACCCTTTTGCCCCCCCCCCCTCCTAGTTTGAAAACATCCTAGCAAAACCTCTGAACTGCTCACTGAGAACATTTGCTCCCTTTTGAGAAAGATGCAAACCATCTTTTTTGTACAGCTTATCTCCATTCCAAACAGAGCTACCATGAGAAATAAAGCCAAATCCTTACTGATCAAATATTTAGTTTAAAAGTTTCATACAGATATTTATTTCTCTGGCTTCTGTATTTTTTGAAAAAGTGTATTGTGTCCATACATTGTTCATTTGTTAAAACTATATATTTTATTTTTGTTAAACATCATTTTTTGCTATTACAATTAAATTATGTTAAACCACATTGTATCATATTTGTCTTGCTTCATAACATCAATATCCGTTATAAAACAAGGAAAAGGTGGGCATGGATGGTGAGCTGATTCGGTAGGTGCAATGGGCCACTTGACTGGATTTGCCCCCCAGGACTAAGGATGCTAGCCCTCCCCTGGCGATATGATCCACAGTCCTACATGGGTGCACCACCCACGTCGGGGGTGCCCCACTGAATCGACTGATACCTGCCCGAGGCCCGCAGTGGACGGGAAGTTTCAGATGCGGCCTACTGGGCCTGGAGCCGGGGGGAGGCGGCCGCTCCCCCAGGAGACCTTCGACAGGCTCTGCGAGTACCTCCGAGATGCACTGCACAGCCGTGGAGCAACTTACCACCAAGCAGAGAAAATGGTGGCTGCATAGATCCAACCGGCACATTACAGGCTCATACTGCGCACCTCCAGAGCGGCAGTCCGGCAACGAAGACTACGGCAATCCACAAGGCAGGAAAGGGCACCAAGGCCCTCAAGCATGAGCTTCCACGCACGGCAGAATAAAAGCGAGAAAGCCACCCAAGCGGCATAGGATGAGACCATGCTGGAATGGACCCTCAACCCCCAGCACATCGTGACTCAGCGCCATACAGCCACAGCTGCAAAACCAGAGCTGTGGCTGTGGCTGTGGCTGTGCAAGACCGGAGCAGGCTCCCAGGGCAGAGTCACCACATGCAGGGGCTCCAAAAGAGTCACTCTCATCAGCAACTTCCAGGACTTCCCAATACTGGGCATAGGCTGAAGCACCCACCGTACAACCCCACGAGAGCTATGCTACAAATTGCCGGGTGATGTACTATATGTTTTCGTGACTCTGTATTGCCTTATAAAAGTTATGTACAGCCATAGCACTGCCACGTTTATACGGGAATTTATAAGGGACTGAAGGGGTTAAAGCGGACTCTTAATTCTATGTCACATAGCATGGAACACCCCCGGCCATCAAGACAGCAAAATACCACAAGGTTACTACCTGTTGCATACCACATGATGCTAGGGCTCCCCTGCCACCAACAGCAACCTCACGCAAAGCAGCTCTTGTCCTAAACTAGACCCCAGTGGTTTACTACACACAGTTAACCATTGTACAGCATACTTTTCTTAAGCCGAGTCATTCTAGCAATGTTTTTTTCTGGCTATATGATAGATTTGGCTGAGAGAACCTTCACTGCTTACTACTTTAATCACTCTTGGCACTCTTGTAAAATTAATGCACTGTTATAACATACCCCATTGTTCTTATTGTTCTGTTACTATTGTGCAAAATTATGCATGCAGACTGCCTTTGGGGTACCACGTGCCTGTATGTTATCCTCGTATGTACTGCAAAAATAAAGAATAAAAAAAAAAAATACACTTAGAATAATAGTTTATATGTGAATGTGCTTATAAAAGCACTTAGATCATATACATATACATATATACAAAATACAGAATCCAGCGCACTCGCTTATTCACTAAACAATGATTTCAAATCTTAGATTGCTAGGGTAGGACCTGCCAACAATGGGGTACATTGACGGTGTGGCAGGCTTATGCAATATATGATCATATAATGTAACTAAACCCCCATTATTTTTTGCCTAGGTGAGGGTTTTTTAAATAAAACTACTACAATCTCTAAGATTTGAAATCACTGTTTAGTGAATAAGTGAGTGCGCTGGATTCTGTATTTTGTATATTTTGGCCCCAGCAGCACCCTATAATGTACGCATGTTTAGGTGAGTGCAGCCCTCTTGGATTTCTTCATATACATATATATATACATATATGATCTAAGTACTTACATTTATTTTTTTTAACTTTTTTTTTATGTTTACTAACTTTTAAAACTTTTTTACAGGCAGCAGGGGGTCAGCCTGAGAGCTCAAGCAGTCCCCATGCTGGCACTGCATGAGCTGGCTATTCCAGCCATGTGATTGCAAGAACCCGGGATCACATGGCCCTCGAGGGCCGGATCGTACAGAAGGGGGAAGCCCGAGCTCCCAGACAGCCCCTCGGATCGCGACCGCTGGCGTGGTATCGGCAGGGACCTGGTAAGTCCCCTGGACGGCGGAGAAGCCCAAAAAAGGACGGCATAGAACGCCGGCCGCCCTTAAGGAGTTAAACAATATGGTGCAGACAAAACAAATGACAAAAAAACAAACCCCAAATCATAGCTTAACAACATCTATGACAATAAATGTGTTTTTTTTGCCCTAAAGCACCCTTACAAAAATATTAAAATAAAGTTTATGTCTGTAAACCTAGTTATAAGAACTATAAATCGGAACTGTCTGTAAAGATAATCATCACAGGATGGGGCCTGACAGCCAAGATGACCTGTTGTGCTTTCTAAGAGCTCTGGCAATAACAAGCAAAAATAAGCCTTTTCTGATCAATTCAGCATCGACCGCAGCTCTGTGTGCACAGAGGACTGAGCTGCAACAAACAGGGACCACAGGGATGCCCATTCCAGGTTGTTACGCCACGATAATGCTCTGTTTGGCAATGCGGCCTAGTTCAGAGCAGGGCCTGGTGTCTGAGGGAGGCTGCCGCTCCCCTGCACGGGACACGCTCGCAACAGAGAGCCCACAACAGCCCTGCTGCCCACCCCCCCTTGAAGCGCCGGGGGTTTCCCAGTCCCTGCTGGGGATACTTACTCCAACATCGCAGAATGAACCCTTGCAGCTGGGAATGTCCTTGAGAGGACGCGATCCTGGGAGAACACGGTGAGTCCAACTGCCTGCCTCACTAAGCAAGCAGACCTCTTCATGAGGCCAGATGCAATCTTTGAAGATTTTGGGAGAAACTGGCCCAACACCAAAAGCAACAAGCCAAATTGAAGCATGATGACAGCTTGCCTCAGAGTTCATGCAGTGTACATAAAATGCAAATTACAGTAGAAATATACCAGTGTGTACACTTCCCCAGTGTGACTCTATTAGAGTAATATTACCATATGATGGACTTGGTTGGTATGATATCTAAAATAACAAAAAAACATAAAACAACATAGTGTAAACTGTACAAAGATATAAAGTGGTAAACAGATATCGAACTCCCAATCACATTCTCCAGAGCTCTGTATATCAGGTTCACAGGTGCCAATACTGGCTAGCGATCTCCCTGGTTCAAGCAGAAGATGCAGATGGGACTCCAGTATATGTATAAAAGTATTTATTGAAAAAATATATATTTTTAAATATAACACTGCAGGGTATTATGGGGGTGGAACCCAATGTACACACAATTCATGCAAAGCAAAATCGGAACTCCACTTACCCCCATGAAAAATAACCCAGAGTGAATGAATGAAATATAATCTTTACAACAAATGATACAAATAAACAGCAAGCAGTCATGTTTCGGCAGATAGCCTTCTTCCAATGCTTCTAATGCAACATAAAATGGCTGCTGCGTCTAGTCCCGGGCTCCCTCACAGCCAACCTCACCATTCAACCCCTTATGCCAAACCTTGGATCCACACAGCTGCTGGGATCGCACTATCTCTCTCTGGGCTGGGGATCCAAAAGGGAACACACCCTACAACCTGTCCATATACCCAGAGGGGCTCCCTGGGAACAGAGCTACCGAGGGCCCATGGACCTACCTCACATAGCAGGGGGACCCATGGACACAGGGAAAAGACCCACGTTTCAGCCTGGGCTGGAGGTTCTGTGCGGCCACAACACTACCACTATGGACTCACTCAACAACAGGTGAAATGCCGTTCCCTGTGGAGGCTGCCTAGCATTCAACACGGAGAACTCTTTCTCATGGCCAGGATGTGGTGTTGGCTGAATGGAGGCAGGAGATGCCACTTGCCACTCGAGCAATGCACACTGTTGTGCCATCTGATTATAATTTAAGGTTATATCACCAATACCCAGTGGTATAAATATATATACTTTGTCTAGCATCAACTTTTTATTATGTCTAACCGTATAGTCAATCTACTTAGCCAACTTTACTACTTACTTACTACTTACTTCTTTACTACTAATATATTAACTTACTGTGAATAAGCATGTTTTCTGTAAAAAAAAGTGCCGCATATCGTGATCTTATAAGTTTAAATATTGTCATTATACCTCTTGTCATTACAAAAGCTTGTACTTATCACTGCGCTCCTAAAATAAAGAATAAAAAAAACTAAAATTTTAAAATGATCATCATTGCTAGATACAGATTGAGAAAGATACCTGGGACACCAACATGTCCACGAGCATTCAGGACTGGTGGTCAAAGCGATACATATATTGTAAGAAAGGTATTGTGTTTATAAAGCAGGTGGACAAAGTTCAATAAGCAAGATGTTTAGAGCAAGAGTAAGACAAAGTGTAAGGAGATGAAGAAAGAAAGTGAAAGGAAAGAGAGTGAAAGTGGAAATGGTAACAAGAAGAGAGGCAAACAGCAAAAAGAAAGGAAAACTGTTAATAGAACAAAAATAGCAGAAAATAAGACAGAAAGTGGAAGATAGTGAAGGTGAAAATGGAATGAGATAACAGGAAGGTAAATGAGACAGAAAGTGAAAAAAGGACAAGACGTAATGTGTCTATAGAACAAGGCAGGAAGTGGATGGAGAGTTAGACAGTGAGTCATATAATATGAGCCTGAAAGTGGTAAAAGAACAAGGCAAAACACTGCACGATTCAGACTGTATACTTTGCAATAACCGTAAGTGATATCTAAACTTATATTCAAATTCTGAGTCATGGTGTACATCTTTGAGATCCAGCCACCCAGCAAGCAAACTCCTCACAAACAAACACCTAGCAAGAAAACACATTACAAGCAAACTCCCCACAAGCAAACACAAGCAAACACCTAGCAAGAAAACACATTACAAGCAAACTCCTCACAAGCAAACACATAGCAAAAAAACACATTACAAGCAAACTCCTCTCAAACAAACACCTAGCAAGAAAACACATTACAAGCAAACTCCCCACAAACAAACACCTTGCAAGAAAACACATTAAAGCAAACTCCTCACAAGCAAACACCTAGCAAGAAAACACATTAAAGCAAACTCCTCACAAACAAACACCTAGCAAGAAAACACATTACAAGCAAACTTCTCACAAACACCTAGCAAGAAAACACATTACAAGCAAACTCCTCACAAACACCTAGCAAGAAAACACATTAAAGCAAACTCCTTACAAGCAAACACCTAGCAAAAAAAACACATTAAAGAAAACTCCTCTCAAACAAACACCCAGCAAGAAAACACATTACAAGCAAACTCCTCTCAAACAAACACCTAGCAAGAAAACACATTACAAGCAAACTCCCCACAAGCAAACACCTAGCAAGAAAACACATTACAAGCAAACTCCTCACAAGCAAACACCTAGCAAGAAAACACATTAAAGCAAACTCCTCACAATCAAACACCTAGCAAGAAAACACATTACAAGCAAACTCCCCACAAGCAAACACCTAGCAAGAAAACACATTACAAGCAAACTCCTCACAAGCAAACACCTAGCAAGAAAACACATTAAAGCAAACTCCTCACAATCAAACACCTAGCAAGAAAACACATTACAAGCAAACTCCTCACAAACAAACACCTAGCAAGAAAACACATTAAAGCAAACTCCTTACAAGCAAACATCTAGCAAAAAAACACATTAAAGCAAACTCCTCTCAAACAAACACCCAGCAAGAAAACACATTACAAGCAAACTCCTCTCAAACAAACACCGAGCAAGAAAACACATTACAAGCAAACTCCTCACAAACAAACACCTAGCAAGAAAACACATTAAAGCAAACTCCTTACAAGCAAACACCTGGCAAGAAAACACATTAAAGCAAACTCCTCTCAAACAAACACCCAGCAAGAAAACACATTACAAGCAAACCCCTCACAAACATACACCTAGCAAGATAACACATTAAAGCAAACTCCTTACAAGCAAACACCTAGCAAGAAAACACATTACTAGCAAACTCCTCTCAAACACCTAGCAAGAAAACACATTAAAGCAAATTCCTCACAAGCAAACACCTAGCAAGAAAACACATTACAAGCAAACCCCTCTCAAACAAACACCGAGCAAGAAAACACATTACAAGCAAACTCCCCACAATCAAACACCTAGCAAGAAAACACATTACAAGCAAACTCCCCACAATCAAACACCCAGCAAGAAAACACATTACAAGCAAACCCCTCACAAACAAACACCTAGCAAGAAAACACATTACAAGCAATCTCCTCACAAGCAAACACCTAGCAAGAAAACACATTACAAGCAAACTCCTCACAATCAAACACCTAGCAAGAAAACACATTACAAGCAAACTCCTCACAAGCAAACACCTAGCAAGAAAACACATTACAAGCAAACTCCTCACAATCAAACACCTAGCAAGAAAACACATTACAAGCAAACTCCTCACAAGCAAACACCTAGCAAGAAAACACATTACAAGCAAACTCCTCACAATCAAACACCTAGCAAGAAAACACATTACAAGCAAACTCCTCACAAGCAAACACCTAGCAAGAAAACACATTACAAGCAAACTCCTCACAATCAAACACCTAGCAAGAAAACACATTACAAGCAAACTCCTCACAAGCAAACACCTAGCAAGAAAACACATTACAAGCAAACTCCTCACAATCAAACACCTAGCAAGAAAACACATTACAAGCAAACTCCCCACAAACAAACACCTAGCAAGAAAACACATTACAAGCAAATAATTATTTCATTGTTCCTTAGTATTAGTTACATTATCTAATGTGTTATACTACTGTAGTGTACTGTTCCCATAAGGAATAATGGTGTCTGAATTTTAAAAAGTGAATAAAGCAAATTTCGTTTGGTTCCAAAATTCAGATGAACCGAAGTTCGAAAATTAACAAATCGAAACAAAAATTTTTTTTCTCCCTGCAGCTCTCTGCTGGGGAGTTTAATGCTATACCCTCACAATGATATCAATCTAATGATACTGTAGAAACACAGACACTGGTCAGGTTCCATTGTTGAAGTAAAGCCACTGTAAATATTTATTTACAAACATCCTTCTTGTTGCTTGGTTCACTATTATACTTGATGGGCTACAGGATTTGAAATAACTGAAATAGCCTTGAATAGTTTAGTTGATTTTGGCTGCATCTTGTGTTCCAGTCGTCAATGACCCAGAAGTAACCACAGTGCCTGTATGTATTCTGCCAGCATCCTTAACCTCTTCGCTACAGGTACTTTTTATTTTAAAAATGTTAGCATAACAACTGATTTGATTAGATACGAAAAACTAGCTGACTTTTTTCGAATGCATTTTTTAAAATTTCTCACTCAAACTTTCTTCTTGTTCGGGAAGATGGAAAAAGGTTATCGCCATTCTAAGTCCCCTTACTGAGAGGTGTATAGGGATACAATTAATCATGACATACGTATCTACTTCTCTGCAATAGAGTTCTAGAACAAAGAGGAAGAGAAGTCATATAGTCTAGGTTATACTAGCAGCGTTTGACTTGGACATAGTCCCCAATTTAGCTATTTTAGCTTATCCTAAAAATTTGAACTAGACTTGTGCATTTGATTTCAAACAAATTGTAATTTGTCTGAATTTTTATTCCAGTGTTGAGTCGTCTTAACTCGGTAACTCTAAAGCGCCATATGGAGGGATTTTACAGAAAACAAAATGGCCAATGGCCAAATGTATTTGTTTACTTTGTGATTCGGTGTTCCATCCTTGACACAAAAAAAAAAAAAAAGATTGATGGTTCAGGGACAACCACTAAACCAAAAAAAGAAAGAAAGAAATAATCAGATAAATAAATAATAAAGAAAAAAGAGAATAGAACACTTAAAATATGCAACCGAATGCTCAAAAGTAACATTGTGCTCAAAGGTGCGAGTATTGACGGATTGTGGAAAAATTTAAATGGTAATATACTAATGGTAAAAATTTGCTTCATAAAATGGAAAAGATTTTACCCTACTACTGTACTGCAAAATACATATACACAGAAATATTAGGTATATATTTTGCCATACAGTGATGGGCTTATTTTTCATTCCCTTTAGATTAATCGGTATAGTTTTCCCCAAATTGCCTGTATGAACAATATTTGGACAAGTTGAACTGCTGCACTGACGGAAATTGGTCTGATCAAATATTTCTTTTTTTTTCTTCTGATAAAATGATTATACTCAATGAAATGAATGAACCAAACTTTGTTTCTGTGCACTAGTCTATTTCCAACACCCTCGTACTTTTATACTTTTAAATAACCCTCTCTGCTTGTGAATTAACTTCCTAATTTCAGACAGACTCCTGGAAACAAGGAATTTCATCTTGGTTCCCTGTCAATCATTGTTATTGTCATGAAATCATTATTTTATTACTTGTTACAAGCTCTTCCCTCAGGTATACAAGTTTCAATTTTAAACATTAATGATATGCACATATAAGTAAAATGGAACACAGAAGAGCGGTAGATATCGCCTCTTTTCCTTCTTCGCAGAGAAAGGTATCCGCCCGTAGTTCCAAGCGTTTGCTTGTTTTCTACCAGTCTAAATACAAATTTCAGATGAAGGGGATTTCCTTGATATGAGGCAATACAATTGTAGGGGTTTGGTGCAATAAAGACATTAGGGGCATGGGGAGAACCTACACTTAGCTGGGTTTATGGTTACATTGTATCCCAAACACAGTCAACTGCACACTACAAAGCCACCACGGTGTATCCTACTAAATTCTGAAATACATTTGTCCAAACAGGGAAATTTTGAACTACAAATAGCGACAAAGCATCTGGGATCGACGTCAAATGAGTTCAGTTTTATCAGACACGTGGGATGTCTTTTTCCTCCCCTACTTTGCCGTATTTATAAGCTGTTTTGTGTCTATACTAAATAAAGAGAAGACTTATATGCTACTTCCTATTTTCCTTTTATTCTTCTATGGTGGAGCGCACTATCTGGTTATATTGTTTCTTTACTGCTATAAATAGCGATACCCTGGCTTTTTATACAGTTTCCATGGAATGTTTATATGATACTCTCAGATCCCCTTGATGCATGTATGGTTGGAGTCCTGTGTTTCTGTACTTGGCATATATACCTTATATTCAGCACTGATAGCTAAGAGGATTTTCCTCTCCTCACTCGAGGGACAGGTTTTGATTGCCTGCTAACTGGAATACAATAAACGTGATCACCCATTTAGAGTTACAGTGAGGTGCATTGGTGGATTGTATGTAGTCATTTGTTTGATCTGTGAAAATGCGTTTTTATCATTTAGTGCAATAAGTTTCCTGAAAATGCAAAAAAGTAAATTTAAATCTCCATAAATATACTTAATGTAATCTGCAGACCTTCCTTCATCTGCAAGTTGAGAACCAAGAAATAAGAAACTTAAGTAAGCTTATTGTAAATACAATATAAATTGAAAAAAAGAAAAAAACAACATTTCTTATTCACAAATTAATGAGCCTCTCCATTGACTTACAATACACGTCTGTGGGAAAAACGTTTAGTTCCTCGGACAGCCACACAGCTTACTGGGAATTAGTGTGAATATGAATAATATCTCTATTCTACAATGTAGCTATGTATATGCAAGAAGAGGAAACTGGTCTGGACCATAAAAGAAGAAGAGACTGAGATGGGTTAACTAAACAGCGCTCTCAAAGTCAGTCCCGATACCCTAATAAAGGCTCCACCAACAGTGTAGGGCAATAGATTGCCAATCATAAAAGCATAAAAAGAACTGTAAAAATAATAAATCTTTTATTGGTTCCTCTTAGGGAAAAATATAAACAAAATTTAGTGAAAAGTGTATAAACAGTGATATTAACAATAAAATAGGACCATCTGCTATTCTGCAAAATATGCAGCGATAATACAATATATAAATATATAAATTCTGATGAGTAGCTAAATGTAAACTGTTGCTAGCAGCTTATTTCCAACAGAATATCAGTAGCCGAAAATATTGTAGGAAAGTATAACCCTTTGTAAAACGATATAAGTATAACTGCACATATAAGTGCTGCTTGGTAAGGGTATAAGTGTCCACAGAGGGTATGTCAAAGTTACTTCCAAAAGTAGGGGGTTCGAAACCAGTAATGCGCAAAGGTTATAGATGAGTATATGTGGAGGATAAACGGCAGTGCTACGCGAACTAATAATATAGCCAGGATGCTAGCCGACAAAATTCCTACAGCCCCAATTGCAATACTCCATATGTTCCCCAATGCTAAGAGTGAACAGAGTAGATATGCTGAAAAAGAAGGGTGATTAGTTAGTCCGGCCGGACGTAAATAGAGGAAAATATAATCCTCTATGCTAAAAAAACTTTAACCCATCAAGTGCACCTATGGTTTCACAGTTCTAGTAATCGTAACATACTGTTTAGTCTGTACAGTTAAAGGGACACTCCAGTGCCAGGAAAACAATCTGTGAAAACCCCTTCAGTCACTTACCAAAGGCAGTAATGATGTCCCTCGTCGACTGCTTCTTCCTCAGCTGCTGCTCCTCCCCTTCATTACGTCAGCCGGCGGGGGAAACTGATCCCGCCCGCCGGCTGGGGAGACCTAATGCGCATGCGTGGCAATGCCGCGCATGCACATTAGCCCTCTCCATAGGAAAGCATACTTTTCAATGCTTTCCTATGGGGATTTTACCAACGCAGGAGGTCCTCACACAGCGAGCAATCCTGTGCTATGGACCAGGAAGTGCCCTCTAGTGGCTGTCTAGTAGACAGCCACTAGGGGAGGACTTAACCCTGCAATGTAATTATTGCAGTTTATGAAAACTGCAATAATTACAGTTGCAGGGTTAAGGGTAGTGGGAGTTGGCACCCAGACCGCTCCAATGGGCAGAAGTGGTCTGGATGCCTGGAGTGTCCCTTTAAGGATTAATTTAAATGATTGTTAATAATTTTAGACAGGTAGTTGAATCATACTCTATAAAGGTAATGGGGCAATAGGCACCAAGGCCACTTCATCTCATCTGAAGTGGACTGGGTGCAGTGTTCCTGTCCCACTTAGTCCTGTATTATATAACATTGCAGTTTTAGAGAAACGGCAATGTTTCTAATGCAGTACTAAGACTGAATCTAGTGCCTGTCTACTACTCGGGTTCATTCCAATGCATCTCATACTGTAATAGTCCTATTCTATTTAGGAGTCACTGAACTCCCTTATCTTAAGCTTGTTCCTTTTAGCATTTCTTGTGTTTTTGCTCCATCTTGTTTTTACCTATTTACCTACCTGTCTATTAGAACTGATACAACAAGAGGACATAGTCTTAAATAAGAGGGGCAAAGGTTTAAAAATAATATCAGGAAGTATCATTTTACTGAGAGGGTAGTGGATGCATGGAATAACCTTCCAGCTGAAGTGGTAGAGGTTAACACAGTAAAGGAGTTTAAGCATGCGTGGGATAGGCATAAGGCTATCCTAACTATAAGATAAGGCCAGGGACTAATGAAAGCATTTAGAAAGTTGGGCAGACTAGATGGGCCGAATGGTTCTTATCTGCCGTCACATTCTATGTTTCTATGTAACCCCTTGCTTGTGCACCATAGTGCAAAACAAGGCTAAAGTGGCTCCCTGGGATATTTCCCATTGGACTGTCACATTACAATGGGTATCTATGATATCCTGAAGGTGACTATATAGTAATGGACCTAGTGGTGATCATGTCTTGGAGATGTGTTAGACCATGCTCATAATAATGGGTACTCTAGTCAAAGCTCCTGTGCCGTGCTAATCTCAAATACCTTACTCATCGATCTGACTGCTTCTTCTCCGCAACATGAACTTAATATCTACAGAGATGATTGAAGTCTGGAACCGTACTACAAAACAGCACTCACCAATGAAATTTTGCTCCACCGTTATCAAGAGTCGATGGATTCTACCTTTAAAAAAAGGTTATTGAGAAATAAATTTAAAAAAAAAATCCAGGGATTACGTGGGCATGTGAAGAATGTTTTTAAATGTTTTATTCATCGTTGAATGACTAGCAGCATTACAGTACCGTTAAGCTTTTACCAAGACACAATGTTACCACATATTTTATTTGGAATATAAAGTCATTCACATCCCTGCACAGAGCATTGTCCTTTTCAGTTCATTCGGGTCCATACTTGTAGCTCACTACTCACTCTGGAGTCCGATAAGCTGCAGACATACTCAACCCTAGCTGCGTGAAATACCATCCCATTAACATAAACCAGAAAATACATTTACCACTTGCTTTAAATCCTGACACAACAGCATATTAAATTTTTTTTACAAATTTATGTTTTTTTTGTTTGTTTTTTAAAGTGAAATATTCAATTTAATGAACAAACCAGGTATTAATCAATCATAGCTTTAGTTACAGGTGTAAGCACATGATTTGAATGTGTAAACATGAAATAGCAATTGATTACATAACTCAGATTGCCTTATGTGTAAGTTTCATATTGCCAAAATGACTATACATTTTTAATATTAATCAAGCTGATTTCCTTATAAAGAAAATTACAAAATGCAAGCAGTAAAACTAGCCTTACATCATGTCTTTGCAAAACCTGATGGAAAGAGACACATTCATAAAACAATGCATCATGTTTTGTCTATGACATGGTTCTGCTGCACAAACTGATACATTTCAATACAGTTTAGTCAAGTATGTTCTCCTGTGTTTTGTACTGTAGAAGATAGAGCACCATATAACATACACCATTTAATTCCCCAATACATTTGGCAATTTAAGCTTGTTATTAATGTATTAAAGGGAAACTATGTATCTAAAAATAACAATCATTTTTTTAGTGTCTATAAGTTCATTTCTGTTCTGACCTATCTCCATCCCTCTTTGCTATGTAAAATTAAAGTTTAATCTGTTTTATTTACTTCATATCCAGCGACAAAACACCTCCACAGCAGCCACCTGCTCTGCCTCCATCTTTGCCAGTACGCCTGCTGACGTATTCCATGTTCTCGTCTAAAGAAGTATTGGGGGCGAGATAGGCCTACATGGTAAAATGTTGTGCACCTCCCATCAAATGCTTTCTATGAGTTTGACTTGGTTTGGAAGGGAAAGCACCCCTTGTGGCTGTCAGGAAGACAGCCACTAGAGATTTTTTGCTTTTCTCTGGTTTAGCCCGATGGCAGTCAGACATGGGCTCAGCAAGAAAATGGGGCTCGGACGAACAATTTATTTCAAAATATTGAAAATTTTTCATGTTGATTTGGCTTGGCAGAATTTCAGTACTGAGATTCCAATTCATAAAATAAATCAGAAGAACAAAAAAATAAATGGCCCAATCAGTATCCTGCAAACTATATACATAATATTACACATATATTTAGGAGAGCAGTGATAGGAGCAGTTTTCCTCCATTTTGTTCACAGACCAAGTGAGAAAAAGTAACCAATAGAGGGAAAAACACGAGGAGCAATCAAGAAAATCAAAATTCAGCACTGCAAAATATGTTGGCCCTATATAAATAATTGTAAGTATAATGTCTGGTATTGCGGGTTTCGGGTGGTCCATGATTAAGGTAAAATCCAGACTCAAAGTTTGAGAATTAGGCTGATCACCCAATCAGCCCAAATGTGTTCGAATTGCAGTTTGGCCCACGAACAAATCTCCAGGTCTGATGGCAGCTGAAATTCAATAACTTCTGGAGAATCTAGGGATGCCAGTTCTGTTTGACTGGTTTTAATGGCAGGCATGAGTAAGAAGACTATGAGATATGCTTGGTTAAATGACCTGTTGCCATACCTCATGCCCTGCCATTATTGATAGTATTATAGAGTTATAAGTACCCATAGAAATCCCAAATATATAGGGGTGAGCCTTGGTAGCAATGAATGGAATGAGTTTGTTAGTTACAACGGCTACTTACTAGAATGTGTAGCAGTGAAAACAGGGTGTATATCCCATACCTTATTTTCTGTGATCACGGTGAACCTCATTATTACTTAAGGTCCATGTCTGAAGTCAAACAGCACTGCACAATAACACCACCCTAGTTTGTTACCACAATGTAAACAGCCTCCTGTCTGATATCGTATTATAACTCTATTGTGACAGGAAGTGCCAAACTTACACTTCACAGTAAACTTCAAGTAGTTCTTAAATCAACTTTGGTTTCATCAATAATTCAATGCAAATGTGAGGGGCTACACTGGAGTGTTAAACAGCCGTGGTCAAACAGTTTGCTGGGCAATTTCCCTTTAGATGTCCATGTGTCTGTCTCGGGATCATAACAGTCAAAAGAATCCGAGTCTTCTATGGTATTGTCAGCAGTAAGACACCGGCCACCCGTCACATAGAGTTTATTTTGGAGTACAGTGGCGCCATGATGCATTCGTCTATCCTTCATATCAGCACATTTGATGAATTTATTTTGCTTCACATCATAAGCAATTATCCTCCTGGTGTAACCTGCAACCAAACACAAACTGGTAAGCATTATACATGGCAAATAATTTAACATTTGGCTTTCTGAGTGATTCAAGCACCTTTAAAAGTATTAAAAAAATCTATTTTATCTGCTCAATGCCAGGGAATTGAGCAGTGACTCTGCAGGGGCATGATCTATACACCAACATTGCTTCATTTAGCTTACGTTATTTGAGGACATGGACTTGTCATTCTACTCTGACCTCTCTCACACTACCCTGTTATGGAGGAAATCCCTCCGACCGCTGACAGCAACACTAATAGCTAAGGGAGGGAGGTATTGCTGGGGAACAACGCACGTAGACACCCAACATAAAGTGACAGACATTGCTGAGATGGAAACTATCCTTGCTGCCCTGGGCCTCACAGCCCCACCTTCCTCTACAATTTGGGATGCAGCTAAAATTGTCCCATTCATCCAAGCTTTGCATGGAGTACCTGGGATGGAGACCACCTGACACACCTGCCTATACGTTATTTTAATTTTATTTTTCTCTGTGTTGGGTTTAGCCCTCAGTTAAAAGTGAAATGTATGAGAACAACCCATTTTAGATGCCCCTCATACTTGCGTAATGACTACTAAACCTAATGCCAAACGAGGCCGAGACCGGGAATATCCCGCGCACGCTGACTCCATACTTAACAACCAACCCCCCAGCTCCCATCATGTAAATCCATACTATGCATATCATCATGGAGCGGTTTATTTTCTGCATTAGGATGCGCATCAGATCACTCTGCCCAATTGTAATGCTCACCGTAGCAGCTGCTATGTATTAACCCTCTCCTAAAAGTTAACTACATGAGTTTCTAACATGGCTTATACTCCTCAACTTTAATATATGCAGAGGTACAAGATTAAATCTACTAATGTTAATATAATATTAGTCTTGGCTCTGTTCCATCACAACAGGGTCAAGCGACCAAACTTATTTCTGCGCCTCTATCATGCATACTCTGCAGTCTCATAGATCGTTCCCAAGAGCCACTTCTACAATAACCTGTTTATTCATTTATATTTATTCTTATTTATAAAATGTGCAGTTCTCAAATATCATGACAAAGTCTGAAATTATAATGCTTGTTACCGCTGTTGTAGCCGTACAGGCTGGATTGTAATTTTATCCACGACAAAAGTAAATTATTAAAAAAATAAATAAAAATAAAATAATTATTATTACAGCGCACCACACACACAGAAATATACACACATACACCTACAAACAGTAGATACACAGACATGTTTATAACAAGTGTTAGAAAAGTGTATCCTACTTTCTAGCTCCGTTCAGAGTCAAAGAGGTAAAAGGTTATTGTCATCTGCTTCAGAACATTAATATAAACTAGAAATAGAGCTGTCAATCACTGGTTCTTTCTAGCTAACCTCCAAAAACTATTGCATCATATTATGAAGAGTTGCTGTTGCATCTTTATATAGATTAGTGTCACATGCCCTATTCTCTACATTGCAAAACGTTTGTGTGATTTTTTTTAGCCCTTTCACTAATGAGATTTATTTATTGTTTAGATCAGCATTTTTTTTAAATGTAAATACTGTATGCAGATATAATTCACCAATACATTTGCTTTTCAGGGATACCCAGAAATAGTAAAGTCATTGATTTAATTTATTTTAATGATTTATTTGTCCTTGGCTGAAATTTTGGAGCGTGTGGGCCGTGGCTGCTCAAAAGTTTGGAAATATATCATACCTCCCAAGGGTCCCTATTAAGGAGCGATATTCCCAAATCCCTCTGTCCCTATTTTATAATATAATGACTTTCTTTTTACGGATCTCCATATCGTTGGTGTGTTTGACCAACAATGTAGATATAGTAGCGGCTAAACATTGAACTCTTACCTCCTATTATTAGAATCTTCTCTCCAATCACAACTGCTGGGGCACAAACATTTTTGACCATTCTTGTTTCCATTCGGAACCACATGTTTCTAGCGATATTATAAACCTGGGAAATAGAATGTAAATAAAAGAGTAATAAAAAAAAAAAACAATATTCATCAATTTAAAAAGCTCTAAAAAAATTTAATATTTGACTTCTGGTGTGTAATTATAAAAATATGATATCTTTTGAAATGAAAGAATGGCATTTCTCAATTTGTCTACCCAGCTTTATGGTATTTAAATAAACAAGTAAATAAATAAATGAAAGCAAATATTGTATTAAAAAAATATATTATAATTTGTTATTTTTTTGGTATATTTAATGCACATCCATGATCATAAAGCAACCTTTTAAAAAAAATGTTTTGTAGAAAAATGCGTTTAAAACAATATTCTCAAAAAAATAATATTTATTTTATCCATCTGCCTGTCTATATATTTATCACATATTTACATATGTATATGTGTTGTTTTAAGCTACCCAATCTAAAATAAATGTATTAAAGGACCACTATAGGCACACAGATCACTTCAGCTCAATCAAGTGGTCTGGGTGCCACGTCCCTCTTGTTTTAACCCTGTAGCTGAAAACATAGCTGTTTCAGAGAAGTGCTATATGATAATGCAAATAGAAGGCATGATAACACAGCCATGTTAAAATTAAATTCCTATTAGCCAATAGAACCGTATAAACTGAATAAACATAAGAATGTATTCCTGTGCAAATGTTTCATCTTATTGAGCAAATAAATGTTCTAAATTGAGTCTTTGGCAAACATCCGCCTCGTGTTTGAATAGGAAAACAAAGCTTACTATTATTTTCAACCTAATGTGACATTAATTTAGCATACATATTGTTTTAATTAAATTTAAATTAAACAATGCTTCAGACAATACTCCTACTAAGTTGAATATGCACAATTTATTAAAATAATTGTGAAGAAGGAATGCACCTTATTGGACTGATTCATACGTTTAGTTGTCTAAATTTAAAGTGAACCTGTCGTCCACAAATGTGGGTGATACATTCTTATTCAGGTGTTTATAGATTTAATATATACATTGTGCTAGTGAAAATATATACATTAAAATATATAATTGTTAGAAAACTGTGTTCTTCACAGTTCGTTGAATGAATGAAGTGACAGCGCACACAGCCACCCCACCTCCAAATTGATGTGACCAGTATATCACAATTTGTAATGTGTAGGTCATCATCAACTGGAGGAAGAATGGCTGTACAAAAAAACTTCTACAGAACTTCCACGTATGTAGTCTTTAAAGGGACACTGTTGGCACCCAGACCACTTCAGCTAATTGAAGTGTTCTGGGTGCTGTGTCCCTTTTGCACCTAGTGCTGCAATGTTAAACATTGCCGTTCCAGAGAACTGCAATGTTTACATTGCAGCTCTAAGTCTGCCCACAGTGGCTTTCTATCAGACAGCCACTAGAGGGCTTCCTGCATCGAAACAGACTTTTGGTCCATTATCTGACGCTGGACGTCCTAGCGCTCTGCATGAAGACATCCATCATCAGATTTTTCACCCATAGAAAAGCATGGATTCAATACTTTCCTATGGGGAGGTCTAATGCGTGCGTGGACATCTGCCGCGCATGCGCATTAGACCCCCGCTCATCATGGAAATGAGGAGGGGGCAGAGCTCTGACATGATGTACAGTTGAATTAATTTCCATCTGAACATTTGCTAGAAATTTGGTTAGGACAATACACAGATAAAATGTGATCTTCTTTAAAGTTACTCCCACTCATGTTAGTCACGGAACGTGCACTTTAAACCAATCTTGAAGAAGACAATTTAAAAAGTTATAGAAGTCACAATGATGACTTGCTTTCAATTGTCTGAAAATGTCCGATGCTACAATTTCTGAAAACCAGAATATTATATTTTAAGAAAGTCGGCTAAATATGTGATTTTATATTGAAAATCGCAGAATAATTGTGATTTTGTGATAGGAATACTAAACAGTATATATCTGCATTATTGCTTATTTGCATAAAAGATGTGCCTTAAAGCCTGCTATAAGAAATATCTACATGAAAATAATAGCAAAATAATAGCAAAAAAGGAAAACCGTGGTGCATTTTTTCTGTTAGATAAACTATTTACATGGAATAATAATTTTTTTTTAAAAAAAACTATAAAAGTATAAAACTAATCTTTTCAGTGTTCATTCGGCAACTGAAGTAATGTTGCATGCTCCTCCCACTCACCAGTGATTGGACAGTGTTGTGGTGATTGACAAGAGCCCGCCATCACCACTGGGACCAGACACTAGTCCATAGAGATGGACACTGCTTGAACCTATAGTATAACAGGGATTAAATAACCTCAGAAGGTCCACTGTGCCTGCCAAGTTCCCCTGGGACTATGACATGTTATCAGACCATATTTTATAATAGTTGTGGTCAGCACACACCAGCGATAAATCGTGTAAAGTCAAGATAAAATGTATGCATGGTAAAAGTCAGTTAACTGCACATCATTAACGCCTTACCTGTATAAATCGGACAGGGTTCTGCATGACATCCTCTCCACCAAAAAGATAGATTCGTTGGTCTTTGGCAGCAACTGCAGGATGAAGGACAGCTAGGGGCATGTTTGCCATGACCTCCCACGTATTATAAATGCTGTCAAATCTCTCCATGGAGCTCAGAATCTGTTGCTTTTCACCAATTCCTCCAATAGAAAATATATAGTTTTTGTAGGCAATGCTTCTATGAGAGTAGCGTGCAGACAGCATTGGTTCCCCTTTACGCCACTGGTTTAATTTGAGAGACAAAATGTAAACAGCAGAAGTCACCGTGCTTTTCTTGCTGCAAATGGACAAACCCCCTAAGATATAAACGTTGCCGTGTAAGCCCACAGCAGAAGCTTTATGAAGACGCAATGGAAGCTTAGCAAGTCTGAGCCACTGGTTTGTCATCTCATTGTACAGCAAAACATCCTTTGTGGTCTGCTGACTGTCTTTTCTACCTCCAACATTAATCAGGAATTCCTGGTGAGAAAATCTTCGAGGGACATGCAGCATGGGCTTGACATTTGGCACAATTGCTGTATTTTGAGAAAATAACATTCTGGATGCTGCATCCAAAGAACTTCTGCAAATTGTCGAAGACTGAATTAGTGGATCACTGGCAATAAAATGGAAGAAAAAAGTTGGGTGTACGTATTGAAGACGCACCTTCTCAAACAAATCCTGAACAAAGCACTTACGTCTTTGCATGTCATGTCGAATCCATGTCATCAGGGTCTCAAAAACTTGCTCTTCTTCTCCACACAGATCATCGTCTCCAAGGTAATCAAGCAATTCTTGGGCACACAGTTCCTTGAGGTCTTCAGAAATGCCAACTTCTGGGAAACATTGTAAAGCCATGTCTCTGGCCTTCTTTTTAAGGTCTTCACAGCTGAAAATGTCAGCAAGACGCACCATGCTTAGGCAGTTCTGGGGATTCATTTGGTCCTGAAGGTACTTGGAACAAGCTTCTAGTAATGTATTATACTGAAGCATAGAAGCAGCCTCGATGAGACAATACACATTCTCCAGAGTGATAAGGATCTCACCGGTGTAGACATAGAGGATGATGAGATGAAAAATATCTGAGTCAATGCATTTCAATACTACTTTTTCTTCTCCACACTCTCTAAAATTGTTACAAAACATAGCCTTAAAGTAAGGGCTACTTGAGGCTAGTACATTTCTGTGACAAGGAAAGGTGCATCCCCCAGCACAAATGAAGACATCCGTTAACAAACCTTCTTCCCTCAAGTTGTTAAGATGTTTTAGTAAATCACAGGAGATTTCTGGATCCTGGAAAAGATAATTCTTACCAACATGTTCATCCATTTTCGATCACTTTGTGTATAGATTCAGTTGGAAGAATTTGCTAAATGTTACCTTTGCATCATTGTTAAGGACTTTAGCCTGCTTATGTTTTCAGTGAAACAACTGTGTATATAACTCGATTCACAATCATTAAACAGTGAGGAGCCCTGGTGTCTTCTTGCAACCTAACAGGAGACAGGGAAAAATATGAATGTTCATTTATTTTTTTCAATGATTTATATTTTTGAAGGATTGAGGTAAACACAGACAGCCTTTAGTGTACATTTAGAATTCTTTTATCAACTGCAGCACAAATTGCATCTCTCTAATATTGTGTTCTGCTGTAAGGCTGAATTGTTAAAAGCTGACCCTCTTAGTTAAAACATGATCTGACTTGTCACTACAGCATACAAGCAATAGATGTAACAGACTCTTACATTGAGCCCAGCATTATCTAAATATCATACATCAAATTCATGGCTTTTTAACTACCACGATTGTGCCATAGTGTGTGTTCTAATCCTTGGTACAAGTGTGGCTGAAAATATAAAGTCAATAAATGTCAGAATTTCTTAAAGCCTGAGGAAGGTTATTGACCATGGTAAGGTTACAGTGAAAGTGGGCAGAAGCAAATTAGGAAGGGTACTTATGTCTTGTTATTTTTGTACATGCATCCCGGGATATTGATGTTATTATAATTATGAGCCTAAAGCCCAAAAAGCTGTGTTGGTCCTATCGGGAATCTAACTTGTGAGGCCTAGAGCAAGTTCTGGAGCACTATACACTGACCTGTCTCACTGGCGTATGCTCATTCTTCAAACACATAAAAGACTTAATTGTCCTCCTCGGTAAAGTAAAAAGACCTGAGAACAGGGTTTTACATAATTATTGCTGATTATGTGCCACTGATTTAATTTCAGAAACAAAATATAAGCAGCAGTAGTTACTGTGCTTTGCTACGTTTTCGGGGGGAACATATGTTTTAGAAGTTGTCTTACATGCTTGTAGTACTAAAACACCAGCTTTTTAAAAGTCATGTAGCTCTTCTATAAGTCTTAACAGGACATTGGTTGGGTTAGGTGTTCTTGCCTTCACATAGAGTATAGGACCCTTTCACCTAGAGAGGTCAACTGGCCTAGACCCAATCATTCAAAGTTAATCTGAATCCCAAAGTCTTGGAAATTCTCAAATGAGTTTACTAGACTCTTCCTCTCATCATTATTTGCCATTTTATAGATTCATATCTTTATAGACTCCCCATAATGCTTTGATGTAAGTAAAAAAGGATCTGTCATATGCATGGTAAGTATATTAATACAGAAAATAAGATGTAGATCTTAAGAAGGTATACTTAACTAAAAATTGCCTCTTCCATGTCCAAGATGGCACCCAATAAAGGATTGAGCAACTAAGCTTAGAACTGCCCTGTCCACAAATAACCATCCTATTGTTATGGGCATATTGTCATGGGCTCGGCGGTCCTGGGAGGCCCGGACTGCTCTGGGAGTTCTGGGCCCCACGCCCCACATTCCCTAGGTGCATATATATATATATACAGCGATTTTTACTACATATACATGTGCAGCTGCGGGCCCCCCGCTCCCTGTTTACTGCAGAGGGGGCCCAGCACACTCGGTCTTCAGTTCCCAGCAGCTCCTCTATCTCTAACTCTCGCAAGCCGTGGCCAGCAGAGTGTTGCCACAGTTTACCATGGTAACGCCTTGCGCGGCACGCAGGCCAGTCTCGCGAGAGTTAGAGGCATAGGAGCTGCTGGGAACTGAAGACCGAGTGTGCTGGGCCCCCTCTGCAGTGTGCTGGGCCCACCTGCAGTAAACAGCTCCTGGCTTTGAGCACCATGCCACCAGACCACCAGGGAATGTGATCTCCTCCCTCCCAGGTAAGAAGCAGAGAGGGGGAATAAAATAAAATGTTGTTTTAAAGAAATGTTTAAAAAAATGAAAATGCTCACCACATACCACCTATTTTACACACACTACATGCCTACAAACACTCTGCATTCATTATATACAAACACTACATCTACTATACAAACACACATGCTGCATGCACTACACACACTGCATCTAATACACACTAACACTACATCAACTACACAAACACACTCTGCATTCACCATACACACTGCATCTAATACACACAAACACACATTCTGCATTCACTATACACACACTATATCCACTACACAAACACACACGCTGCATGCACTACATACCCTGCATCTAACACACACTAACACTACATTCACTACACAAACACACTCTGCATTCACTATACACACTGCATCTAATACACACTAACATTACATCCACTACACAAACACACATTCTGCATTCACTATACACACACTACATCCACTCCACAAACACACACGCTGCATGCACTACATACACTGCATCTAATACACACTAACACTGCATCCACTACACAAACACACACTCTGCATGCACTATACACACTGCATCTAATACACACAAACACTACATCCACTACACAAACACACATTCTGCATTCACTATACACACACTACATCCACTACACAAACACACAAGCTGCATGCACTATACACACTGCGTCTAATACACACAAACACTACATCCACTACACAAACACACATTCTGCATTCACTATACACACACTACATCCACTACACAAACACACACTCTGCATTCACTATACACACACTACATCCACTACACAAACACACAAGCTGCATGCGCTATACACACTGCGTCTAATACACACAAACACTACATCCACTACACAAACACACATTCTGCATTCACTATACACACACTACATCCACTACACAAACACACAAGCTGCATGCACTATACACACTGCGTCTAATACACACAAACACTACATCCACTACACAAACACACATTCTGCATTCACTATACACACACTACATCCACTACACAAACACACACTCTGCATTCACTATACACACACTACATCCACTACACAAACACACAAGCTGCATGCGCTATACACACTGCGTCTAATACACACAAACACTACATCCACTACACAAACACACATTCTGCATTCACTATACACACACTACATCCACTACACAAACACACAAGCTGCATGCACTATACACACTGCGTCTAATACACACAAACACTACATCCACTACACAAACACACATTCTGCATTCACTATACACACACTACATCCAAGTACACAAACACACAAGCTGCATGCACTATACACACTGCGTCTAATACACACAAACACTACATCCACTACACAAACACACATTCTGCATTCACTATACACACACTACATCCACTACCCAAACACACATTCTGCATTCACTATACACACACTACATCCACTACACAAACACACATTCTGCATTCACTATACACACACTACATCCAAGTACACAAACACACACTCTGCATTTAATATACGTGGGCAGACTTAATATATGTGGGCAAACTTGAGGGTGGACCCCACGGACCCAGAACTGGCGCTGTGTCATCGGCCCCAAAATTTCTGTTGGCAGCCCTGCTGGAAGCTATGCTTTAAGATTGGCTACTCTGACCTTAAATTGTAAATTTACTTTGATTTCAAACATGAATTCTCACTTAAGTAAATAATTCTGTAAGATATTTACAGTTATCACTTTTACAATTACAATATACAGCACACAGGAGATGGCTACGCCAAGTTTCCCTCAGTGATATGACACAACAGGATCCGTTGTATGAAAATGCTTACAGGACATTTTTTGTCAAGACATAATTTGATCTTTAACTGCATAAATACAACACAATACTAAATTATATACTAACAAAATTGTAATCGCTGCTTAGCGTGTCAAGGGTTATAAATAACAAATTTAAAGAGTGCTTCACTAAACCAAGAGTTGTTGACGTGGGAAACGACTTGTAAATTGCAAATTATAGGTCAACATTATCAAGATGGCATAATGAGTTTGATAATTGCTCCAGTTGAGTTATTTTGGCTAGAATTTTCCATCTCAGGATAATCCCCTTCAGGCATGCTATGGATAGTCTTATATGATGATGTGTTTGACACGTTATTGATTTAGAACTTTCTCTGAATGTGAAAATTGTGTGCACTGCATCCACTGACGCGTTCACATAGTCACAAGAAAATTGTGACACATCACATCTGTTCTGCCTTCTGTCTGCCTGAAGAAAGCGTACATTCTGAAAAATGGCCAGTGACCAAAAAATGATCAGGTTACAGTAAACCGTGCTTTAAAATGCTGAGCTCCTTGATCATTGATCATATTCCACTCATTTTATCCTTATATTTGCTAATCTCTGAATTTGTTCTTTTATAAAATTCATGAGAATGTTGAGAAATTATTTATTTTTTAAGGAGTTTTCAAACAAAGTTTAGGGATTTATAGCCCACACAGGTAACAATTACACCCATAAAACTATTTTTTGTTTTTATATTTATATTTCAACTTAACTGTAAATCCACACACCAATAATTATTTAGCAAATAAACTTTTGAACAAAAACTTTTTAAATGTTAAATATGTTGTTCTTCAATAAATATAAAGAGATAATAAGCAGGATGACTCACGGTTCTTACTAATAGGTGGACACAGCCATTGGACTCACAGGACATGCAATAGCAAACTGACACTTACTTTACCTGATTAAAGAAATCCACTTCAAGACTTATTCGCAATAGCAGCTTCTCTGAGATTGTCCAGACCCCATGTTAACTCAGTGCTTGGATGACTATTGAAGGCAAGCGTTGCTTTATAAATTCTGACACTTTTTACTTTGTTTATCCTGAAAGCAATTTCACCACTTTCAAAACCCTTTTGAAAACAGGCAGCATACGCAGGCACCTTCTGCGGTTAATTTTAGCCACAAGTCTCCTGTGTTCCTTTTAGTGTTGTCCCATGTCACAACCTTGGCAGCGAAGTCAACAGATCTGTCGAGTACAGAGCATGCCGTAGATCTATTTTTCCAGCAAGTGTTTATATATATAATAATTAGACTTAGCAGGACCTTTACTTAAAGTAAAAAAAAAAAAATATTCCTGGCTCCTCTGGAAGAAAGATCTCGACTTGAGTTCCTTGTCCTACAGTGACTGCAACACAAGAGCTTTGTAAACAGTGTGTAATTCTGTTATTGTCGTGATAAATCGGCTACTTTAAAGTACTCCTTAAAGTGACATTATTTTTTTTTATTTTTTTTTATGCATAATGCCACCAGATTATTTAGAAATTATTGTGCAAACACTTTCACTTTAGTGGAAGATAATTAAAGACATTGTAAGATCATCCAACTTTTGCAGGTCTGACATTAGATAAAAGAGAGAGAGGGGATGAGCAGGTCAGAGTCCTTCGTTGAAGTGCCAAGTAGAAAGGGCATACCTAGCATGTGCCTGCGTCCCAGGGTCCAAGTCCGGGCATCCAATCAGGCCTGCCTATACAGCGAGATTTGCTGAAGGATTCACATATGGGCTTAAATGCCCGAAATCCCCCCAAAAATCTACACTTGCCCTCAGCCCTCAGCAAGTCTGATTGAGAGGTCTGAGAGAAATAGTGGGTGAAAAAAATTGATCAGGCGACTTTGCTTACACGCGCTTTACGTCTATAAGATAACAAAAACATATAAGGTTATTCACAAAACTGCGAATTGTCAGAAATTAGTGAGGTCATTTCAATGTAAGGTGAAAATAGCTGAGCTGGAAAAAGTTCATGTAGATAATGTCTCCAGACTATTCTCCGTAGCAAAAAGCACAAAATAATAGAGTAAAACCCAACTCATTCTTCTACGGTTCCCAGCTCTAGGAGAATTGGACGATCATTTGCCAGAGATTCAAATTCAAAGCCAAACCTCTCAGTATATTTCTAACTGTAAAGCCAAGGATTTTGCATTAAAAAAAAATATTCGGCACAAGAAAATGATCTTTAAATCACAACATCTGCGTCACATATGTGTGGACTTGGACAGCACCAAAAATGTAGACCTGATGTCTATGAGTTTGCTGTAAAATCTGCCCAGTTTGGGATGCTACCTTGTCAACCTATAATGTTTTAAATATATAACATTTGGATTTTCAGGACCATTCCCCATTGTACAGCGCTACAGAATCTGATGGCGCTATATAAATAATAAAATAATAATAATAATTCCAATCTGTATAACTCTTCCTCTCTTTTAGTCAGTATTTCCAGTCGAGCAGTTAACCCCTGCTTTTGATCAATAATTACAATCAAATTATGGCTCCATTTAATACTGCCAGTAAAGACCTATTTTAAGTCAAAATTTCCAGTTTGGTCCCAATTACGGCCCTTTTTCCAGCCCTGATTCTGACACTCCTAGTATATATCCTGTTTAAGTTCTCCAATACTCATTAGCAGTGGCGGATCCAGAGGCTTATCCCAGGAGGGGCACACACAGATTATTTAAAGAAACAATCCAGGAACAATAACCACTACAGCTCTCCCCCGAGGCTGGCCCTGCTGTCACCCCACGGCCGGTCCTGCAGGCGCGCGAGGGAGCACTGTCCCCTGAGTGCTTCCTCTTCAGCTCCCTCGCGCGCAGTGTACTGATACCGGAGCCGGAAGATGACGTCATTTTCCGGCGCCGACATCCTTACGCGGCGCGCGAGGGAGCTGAAGAGGAAGCACTCAGGGGAGAGTGCTCCCTCGCGCGCCCGCCAGCCCGCCCACCTGCCCAGTGACCGGCCGCCCAGGAGCCCAGCAGCACCACTGGACCCCAGGGAATCCCCTCACTCAGCACTCCAAAAGGTAAGGAGGCTGGGGGATTAAATTAAAAAAAAATGTGTGTTAGTGTTAGTGTGTGTGTTAGAATGTGTGTTAATGTGTTTGTTAGTGTGTGTGTTAGTGTGTGTGTTAGTGTGAGTGATAGTGCGAGTGTTAGTGTGAGTGTTAGTGTGTGTGTTAGTATTAGTGTGAGTGTTAGTGTGTGTGTTAGTGTTAGTGTGTGTCTTAGTGTTAGTGTGTGTTAGTGTTAGTGTGTGTGTTAGTGAGTGTTAGTGTGTTAGTGTTAGTGTGAGTGTGAGTGTTAGTGTAAGAGTGTTAGTGTGTGTGTTAGTGTGAGTGTTGGTGTGTGTGTTAGTGTAAGTGTGCGTGTTAGTGTTAGTGTGTGTGTTAGTATGAGTGTTAGTGTGTGTGTTAGTGTGAGTTTTAGTGTTAGTGTGTGTTAGTGTGAGTGTGAGTGTTAGTGTGAGTGTTAGTGTGAGTGTTAGTGTCTGTGTTAGTGTGAGTGTTAGTGTGTGTGTTAGTGTGAGTGTTAGTGTGTGTGTGAATGTTAGTGTGTGTGTTAGTGTTAGTGTGTGTCTTAGTGCAAGTGTTAGTGTGTGTGTTAGTGTGAGTGTTAGTGTGTGTGTTAGTGTGTGTGTTGTGTGAGTGTTAGTGTGTGTGTTAGTGTTAGTGTGAGGATAAGTGTGTGTGTGTTAGTGTGTGTGTTAGTGTGAGTGTTAGAGTGTGTGTGTCTTCTAGTGAGTGTCAGTGAGTGTGTCTGTTGAGTGTGTGTCTACTAGTGAGTGTCAGTGAGTGTGTTACTGTGTGTGTCTGTTACTGAGTGTGTTTGTGTGTGTGTTAGTGAGTCTGTTTGATGTCTGTTAGTGAGTGTGTGTTTGTCAGTAAGAGTGTATGTTTTGTAAGTGAGTGTGTATTTATGTCTGTCGCTGAGTGTGTCTCTGTCAGTAAATGTGTGTGTCTGTTAGCTAGTGTGTATGCGTCTGTAAGTGTGTGTGTGTGTGTGTCTTCAGCACTTATCTTTCTCCAGCGCCGGACTCCCTTGGCGCTGGGGACTCTGGCTTCGGTGCCACGCACGCGCGATGCGGCAAGAGCCTCGGGCTAAGGCATTCAGGCCGCATAGGAAAGCATTACCAGTGCTTTCCGGCGACGCTCAGTGTCTTAATCGCGAAGCCTCTAGCGGGCGTCAGTGAGACAGCTACTTAGAGGCTGGGATTAACTCTCAGTGCCAGCAGTTTCAGCTGCAGGCTAAAATTGAGGGATTCCACACCCAGACTCACTTCATTGAGCTGATGTGATCTGTGTGTCTGTAGTGTCCTTGGCGTGTATCTGCATGCACTGGCGTACATACCGTGGTCGCAGCGCTGCAATCCCTGCGACCAGGTGCCCACGGATCAATTTTCGCACCGGGGCCCCATGGGTCATGTGTACACCACTGGGTCAGTGTGTGTATGAGGGTGTAATGAAGGCAGTGTGTGTATTGGAGTGCAGTTGGGGAAATGTGTATATGGGGATGCAGTGTGTGTGGGGGGGAGAAGTGTGTGTGGGGGTGCAGTGTGTGTATGAGGATGCAGTGGGGGCAGTGTGTGTGTGGTGCAGTGTGTATGGGGGAGAAGTGTATGTATGGGGGTACAGTGGTGGCAGTGTGTGTATGGGAGTACAGTGGGGTCAGTGTGTGTATGGTGGAGAAGTGTTTGTATGGGGGTACAGTGGAGGCAGTGTGTGTGAGGTGCAGTGTGTATGGGGGAGAAGTGTGTGTATAGAGATACAGTGGGGGCAGTGTGTGTATGGGGGTGCAGTGTGTGTATGAGGGTGCAGTGGGGGCAGTGTGTGTATGGGCGTGCAGTGTGTGTATGAGGGTGCAGTGGGAGCAGTGTGTGAATGGGGGTGCATTGTGGGTATGGGGGGTACAGTGTGAGCTGTGTGTGTATGGTGGTGCAGTGTGTGTATGAGGGTGCAGTGGGAGCAGTGTGTGAATGGGGGTGCAGTGTGAGTAAGGGGGTGCAGTTTGTGTATTAGGGTGCAGTGGGGGCAGTGTGTGTGAGGTGCAGTGTGTATAGGGGAGAAGTGTGTGTATGGGGGTACAGTGGGGGCAGTGTGTGATAGATTATGTATGGGGTGCAGTGGGGGCAGTGTGTGTGGTGGGGCAGTGTGTATATGGGGGGCAGTGGGGGCAGTTTGTATGTAGTTGGGGGGGGCAGATGAAAACAAATTTTTTTTTAATCTTTTTTAATTAAAAAAATATTTTTTATATCCCCCTCCCTTCTTACCTTTGCCCAGGAACTATTATATCAAAGATTTAGATCTATCAAGCTGGAATTGTAAAGGAATGGAAAACATAGAGGTTGTTTACCCGGAAGGAGTTATACTGTCTTTCCAAGATCTAAAAATGAAAATGGATCTAACTAATAGAAATATTTTTACTTATCTTAGATTGAAAAAGTTCTTAAAAGACATGGTGGTTTCTCCTCCAACTAAACTTGATGAGTTTATAGCAAAAGCTCCAAGTACTAAAATTATCTCAAAGATAAAAATGCTGATTTAATCAACTAACGTTAACATTTTTATCTGTAAAGAAATAGGAAAGAGACTTGGAGGTTTGTAAACCTATCGCGAAATGGATAGAATCTTGGGTGATGGTTAAAAAATTTGTACATTCCATAAATCTCCAGGAGATTTATTTTAAGTTAATAAATCGTTGGTATATGGTTCCATGGCGTATAAACAAATTTAACAAATTAAATAAAGGGGAATGCTGGAGGTGTTCTTATACTCAAGGCACATTATTACATATTTGGTGGAAGTGTGAAAAAATTCAGGAATTGAAATCATTAACAGAAACTACAATATCCAAATTATTGCAGGGAAACTTTAAGCTTAAATCACAAACTTGCCTTTTTCATTTGGATCTCCCCAAAAATAACAAGCCGAATAAATACTTAATTGTAAATATACTGCTAGCAATTAAAATATGTGTGGCTAGAGACTGGTTAAATCCTGTGCCACCCACCTGGGCTAAAATAACCAGCCAAATTGCACTCCAAGGTAGAATGGAAAAACTATTTTATAGTATAAATGGTAAATAATTTTTATATCAAGAAATATGGTCCCCTTGGTGGGAGTACACTGAAAAGTGGCAATCCTCCTATGGGAAAGTGCCTTGAATGAATAATAAACTTGGGTCCACTGATGATCTCTTATTTTTTAGAAGGAGGAAATATTAAATCCCTC